TTTAGTTTACAATCATATTGTACTGTATTCAAACGCAAAAGGTTTTAAGTTTCACAATTTTCTGGGCCTTTTGGCACAACTAAACATACCATATTTCTCACCTCTGCTCTTGCATTTTAAATATTTTCATCAGGTTTCCTGTATCTGGTGGCAGGAAAAATGGGAATATGATATCTCCTCAGTTAACTGTTGATTGTCATGACAGATATCATTTAATTGCAGTGAACCATTTTTATGAATACCTGTACTTTTAAACTGTAATTCAGCACTAATTATTACTATCAATCAGTTAAGGTGGTGTTTGAATGTCTGAGGGTTGGCAACTATGGTCCTACACTCCAAGTATTTTTAAGCTCTTTTTACCACTTCGTAGATTTTACAAATCTCTGGAGACCCAGCTTTTAATTTCATTCATCCATCTCATTCTCTACCTTCCTCTTCAGTTTGCCCATTAAAATTTCTGGTATTATCACCTCTTCCTACTTTTCTGAGTTATAGGAACAAAGTACAGTTGTACCCCACTTAACGCGGTCAATAAAACCCAGAGGGTACCGTGTTAAGTGAAAACCGCGTTAAGTGAACAACAGAACATATGGGATTAATTCCAATAGAAACCGGCCCGACCCCCAAACTCCACTTTTTGACGACACATAACTATGTTGTAGTAAAAATTTTATCTTAACTTTATGATGGTATGAAAAAACAAGTAATATAGAAGAGGTTAGGTTAGGAAAAATAAAGGTTAACATAGGAAAAATAAAGGTTAGGTTAGAGAAACTAAAAGTTAGGTGGAACACTTACGGTAGTAGAAGAGATGGGTCGGCGTACGGGGATGGAGGCTGGTTCTGAGGCAGAGGGCAGGCTACTGGCCCTCAGGTGAGTCACTATCACTGTCACCCACAGTTGTTATGGCCTCCCTGACAAATCCCTCAAAGTCATCTTCACTGTCTCTACCTCTGTCACTATCACTGGCTTGGGCTGGCTGTGGTGGGTTGCGGGCGAAGAACCCGGTTATGCTTTTTTGACGGCTGGTGTTTATGTTGTCTTGGTACACCGTGATGTACGGCTCCATAGCCTGCACCAGCCGGGTATGGAAGACTTCATAGTGGTCATCGTCATTGTCGCGGGAAAGGACGGACTTCATTTTCTCTGCACACTATGACACACTTAATATCACTATGACTTAAACTGTGTTCTTCGGAGAATGACGCACCTTCTTCCTCCTCTTCACTGACGTGATCTTCTTCCAACATCTCGTCGGCAGTCACTTCAGGATCTCTGATCACCTCCAGGATGTCTTCGTTGGTGGTCTCGGAGAAGCCTTCAGCTGTAATATTGAGCGCAGCTTCTCTGGCAAGGTCCACTGCTACTGCAACAGTCTGAACCTCACCAGTCACAGGTTCACTCCTCTTCTCAGCTGGTATGCCATGCAACACATGTCTCCATGCGTGACGAATCGTAGCAATAGTCAGCAGATCCCATGCCTCCACCAAGAAGTCTACAGCTTGTTTAACGTTAAACTTCTTCCAAAATTGTTTGACGAGAAGTTCTTGAGTCGCCACCTCTTGTTCCTTGTCCTCGTCGCTTTTGCTCTCGCTGTCAGTGTCACCCAGCATACGCAACTCATCCTTGGTGTTGGTAGAGTCGTTCAGGAGCTTGAACTTCTTTGCAGAGTACGCAGCTTTCACATTGCAAATCAACTCCTGGTCCATGGGCTGGATTAATGACGTAGTGTTGGGAGGAAGGAAGACCACTTTTACGTTGGGGTGACGATCCATAAGTAGGGGCGAGTGTCCAGGTGCGTTGTCAAGGAGCAACAAAATATTGAATGGAACATTCTGTTGCTCGCAGAATTTCTTCACGTCGGGAACAAAACAGTTGTCAAACCAGAAGAGGGACAGAGAAGAGGACATCCACGCCTTACGTGCGGTTAGCCAGTGGACATTAAGCTTGTTCATGTCCATATTCTTGTAGGCGTGCGGCTTGCGGGCTGTGTAAATCACCGATAACTTTGGTTTACAGGTACCGGAGGCATTGGTGGTAAAGAGGACAGTGATGCGTTCCTTCTGCAACTTCCGACCCCTTACCTTGCTGGCAGACTGGACAACGAAGGTCTTGGAAGGTAGCTTTCTCCAGAAAAGACCAGATTCGTCCATGTTAAACACCTGGTCGTCAGTGTACTGTCCTTCCTCCATAATCTCACATAAGAACGGAGGAAAATCTCTAGCCGCCACACGGTCAGCACTCGCTTCCTCACCACCAATGTTGATGTTGATGATCTTGTTCCTCTTCTTAAACCTATGCAGCCAACCAGAGGAAGCATTGAAGGGTTTGGGCTCTGCAATTCCCAGCTTACGTGACACTGCTGCGTATAGCTCACGTGCGTACTCCTGCACTGAGCGCGTGTCCACCGCCATGTTGCGTCGCGCCTGACGAATCAAATAACTCACCAGCAAATTTTCCACTTTTGCCAGCACCCTGTTCTGGCAATACCTGATAGATGAAGCACCTGCAGACTTTGTGATTTTCATGTGCTCTTTGATCTTGGCTGCATCCTTCTTGATCGTGCGAATCTTAGATCCGTTGACGCCATGCTGGCGCGCGAGATCAACTTGCCGTCTTCCTTTCTCCAAATCTTGAATAATTTGGTACTTCACCTCGTAGCTTAAGGAATGTCGTGTCTTTTTTGGCGTAGTGCTGCTGGGTCCAGGTAAGGAAAGGTCTCTCTCTGGTGGCGGTGGTGGGTCGGCGGAAGCCATTTTACGGAACAATGGATGCGCGTTTACACGGTGTGGCCTTGAGGGATGAAACTGCCGCGGCTAGGTCAAGCGTCGTCTTTCCTCCCTCCCTCCCCCCGGTGGTCACGTCATAATACTTTAAGCCAATTACAGCTAGCAGCAGAGGGGGGGTAGGGATGCATGGCCAATCACAGTCCGATACGTCATATGACGTCAGTGATAACGCAACAAAGACACACACTGCGCAACCTTACCGCGCGGCTTTCCCAAGCGGAGGGAGGAGGAGGGAGAGGCGAGGAGCACAGACAGGCAGGCAGGCGGGCGGGTGGCGCAAATCTAAAAATAGCGTCTCGAGCCGGACACTCACCGCGTATATGTGGAAAAAATCCGTGTTAAGTGAAAGTTCAACTCTGGCGAGGCACCGCGTATACGGTAAAACGCGCTAAGTGAAACCGCGTTAGGCGGGGTAATACTGTACAGGTATATCATTTCCTTGTTTTATGGATTTTCAGCATTTCTTTAGTTGTTCTTGCCAATCTTAGTACAGTACTTTATTTTCCTATCTGTATAACTGTAGCATTTTCCTATAACACTTGATATTAAAAGTCTCTTAACTTTTTTATGATTTCCAAAGGCATCCACACTTATGACCCATTACAGTACTAATCATAAATATCATTTCAGTATTCTGTTTCTCAATTTGAAATTTATTTCCCCTTTTAGCAGGTCTCTTTAAGATTACCAAATGCTGTTTCAGCTTGACCAATTCTTGATTTAATTCTTTTTCACAACTATCATCATAACTGTTACTTTCCAAGGAACATAAAATTTTCATCTGTTTAAGTTCCCTCTTGCTTACAATAATATTTATTTTAGGATTTATTATTAATTTGGAAACAACCATATTCTTCACCTTTTCCTTCTACAGTAATTTGTTTACAGTGAACCCTCACTTTACGCGGTCAATTCAACCCACGGCGGCCTGGGTAAAGCGAGAAACGCGTAAAGTGAACAACATAACATATGGGATTAATTGAAATAGAGACTGGGCCGACCCCCAAACTCCACTTTTTCAGATACAATACCTACGTTGTAGTAAAAATAACTTCTTAATTTTATAATGGTATGCACACACAATTAATAATTAAGAGAAACATCAATAATAATAGGTTTTTTAACACTTACATTAGTGGAAAAGATGGCTGGGCACACGGGGATGGGGTTCGGTTCCGAGGCAGAGAGCAGATTACTGGCCCTCACCTGTATCACTTGTATCAATTGTATCACTATCTACCACAGAGGCTTGCAGGGCCTCTTTGTCAAACCCCTCAAAGCCCATATAAGTCCATGTCCTCACTATCATTATCACTATCACTGACTTGGGCCGGCTGTGGTGGGTGGCGGGTGAAGAACTCGGTAATGTTTTGATGGCTGGGCGACCTTGTGCGCACCCTGCCCGCGCCGCTCTCCGCGTAAAAGAGTACATGCACAGTGTAAAGTGAGCATTCCGTGTTCGGCAGGGTACCGCGTAAATGTGGAAACGCGTAAAGTGAAACCGCGTAAAGCGGGATTTTACTGTATTAGTGTTTGTAATACCTCTTCACTAATTGTATTAAGACCAGTGTCATTTGCATAGCAAATATATGATATTACACTAGCATTAACTGTTTTCCTGCTTGACTATTTACAGGTACAATTTCTCTCATTAAAAGTTCTGAGTAGATACAGTATTATACAGTACAGTTCATTATTGAAGACAGCACTCGGCCTTGTCGAACCCTAAACCAACTATTGTAGTATGTTCAATATTTGGTAATGCCAACAAAGATTTTTTTATAATTTTAATATCTCCTTCATTAATGCCCATTTTATAAGAAATCTATGTCCTGATTTTAAACCAAAATTTAACCTTTTATGTGACTTCAGTCTTGTGTTAGTTATATGGAATTTTGGTATTTGTAGAAATTTACTAATATCTTATACAATAGATAAAACCATATCTGTATAATATTACATCCCACGTGCATTTCAACAGAATTCCAATATTTGAGGAGAAGTTACTGCACCCTCACATCCTCCTCTCACTCACCCTTGAAGGGCCTTTTATTAATGTTCATAGTGCTGTACAGTAAATAAAGAAAATAAAAAGAGGTGCATCCTTCCTCCTTTTCTGTCCATCTTAAATATACAGTAGTACTGTACAGTATAGTATATGTTTTCTTCTATTCAACATAATCTAAAACTGCTTATTCTAATCCATAGCAAACAGCGACCAAGAGCTTTATACATAGATGACATCATGTTCCGTCAGCCAGTGGAGATTGGTTCTCTCCTCTACCTTAACTCCCAGGTTAGTAAGACTGCACTTAGGATAAAACAACCCTAATCCCAACTGTTGTCATAATACTGTAACACTTTTCTGGGCATTCTTGATAAGGAATAGGGTCTAGGCATTTGACAGATCAGTTACAAGAAGGCAACACAACAAGTGGGACCAGAGCAGCAGTGAAGAAAGCCAACCGAAATTTGGGAATTATAAAGTACACCTTTGAATACAAATATAAGAAAATGCTCCTTCATACATATGTATTTATAAAATACATATTTGTAAGAATAAAACTTTAATTACTGTATTGGTAATTTGAAATTCTGGCAGTTCTCTGCACAAAAATATTAGTAGATAAGGGTGTATACCAATACCTGTGGTCGACTGTACCAATTGTTCCAAAACTAGTGGACTAACATTGCTCTCAAAACCACATCGACTCCATGGGTAAAGATACTAATGATACTTTTTTGGGGGACTGTACCTGTACTGACTTTGAAATAATGTAATATTTAAGATGAAAGCATTGTCTAATAGTACTATGGATCTGAACATTTACTGATATGTACTGTAATATGGGTACTACACAGAAACTAAAAGTGTAGGAATTCCTTGTGGGTTGTCTTACAAGAGAAAGACGTTTCTTTAAAGTAAAAAAAATACCTTACAAATTGAGTTTGGTACTTTATTAAGATAAAATATTCATATATCCACTTATTCCTTTTAGGTTGTGTATACAGAAGGCAAGCATATACAGATTAGTACAAAAGCAAGTGTAGTGGATGCATTTACAGGATCAACCAACTTGACAAACATCTTCCATTTTACTTATCAAGTTGACCAACCTGTCCACTCCGCAATGCCCAAGACATATCATGGTAAGTTCTACACATCTATGGAACTTTCACCATTTTTTTTGTTTTGTTTTTAATACAGTACAGGGCATGTTGAAACATCCAGCATGACACCTAGAAATTTTTTTGATGGGGCACTCTGAAGTTGAACATTCAGAAGTCTAGTATTGGCAGACCTCACAGTCAATGAAAGAGGCAATGCACTGCAGCCTGCAAATTTCCTGTGACTTTATTATTTCAATAACTACAGTGCTGATATATATATACAGTATATATATACAGTATATATATATATATATATATATATATATATATATATATATATATATATATATATATATATATATATGACCCCTCGTTAATTAACACCTCGGTTAACGTAATTTCGATTAACGAACTGCCTTCCATAAGGATCTTCAATTCGGTTAACGGTTCTTAAGAACCGACCTCAACATGTTTTCACTTGACCGGGCAACCAGCTTTAGTATCAGTCCGCCAATACATTAATCGGTTCTAGGGCTTAAATTCCTTATTATTTTAGTAAATATCAAGAAGTTTATACTATTCAATAATTTTAAAAGTTTAATATTCAATTTTTTAGTCATTTTAACAATTATTGAACATAATTAAGGTAAAGTGACTAGTTTAATGCGCGGCATCCAGCCTCTTAACACAGCAAACAGGAGTTAGTCTCTCTCTGTTTTCACTGGAGGTAACATCCCATCATCATCATCATCATCATCATCCAGGAGCCTTCTACATACACACCTCAAAGTAAGTGAACTTTTCTACCATTTTTGTTGAATTTAGGAAATTTTCGGTGAGCTGGAACCAATTACCCAAAAACCCATTAATTACCATTAAAATAAAGGAATAATAATGAGATGTGTTCCCAAGTGTGACCTTTTCATATCTTTTGTGTGGCTTTTTACCCTCTTTTCCCCCCAAAACAACACAATTAATGACAATTGCAAACTATATTCTTTAAATAATGTTTCTGAATGCACCTTATTCAATATAAATGAATGATAATATGGTCACACAAGAGGAGATGGGACGCCATTGTTTTCGTTAGTGTTTACAGCCGGGAGTCTGGGACGATAGTTCTACACGAGAAAATGAAGAAAATAAGACCCTGGTTGTAGCTGTAGTAAAATTAATGTAAAAAAATGAATATAAATGTTTTAAGTAATGTTATTTAATGTTAATAAATGGAACAATAGAAGAAGCTAACCACTAATGGCAAAGAAAATAAAGTGAAAGGGATTGGGAACGCCAACATATGCGTGCGCATTTATGGATACCGCGTCATTTATCTTTTTAAGAATATGTACAAAAGATTCATTATTGTTTATTACTGAATATGTATTTGATCGAATTAATCTTTATATATGCGAAATGAACCATACAATTCATTAATAATACGTAGAATATTAAAACACATAAGAGGATAAGAGGCGGCATTGTTGTCAGTGTTTACACCCATAATGTCAGTTATCCACCTGAAACTGAAGAAAATAAGACCCTGGTTGTTGTTGTAGTAAAGTTAATGTAAAAAATATGTATGTTTAAATTAATGTAGTTTAATGTTAATAAACGGAACACTGGAAGTAGCTAACCACTAATGGTAAAGAAATAAAGCGAGACGATTGGGAACGCCAATGTACTGTACGTACAGTAAGTGCACTACATGTGAAAACATACAGGTAGTTCTGCTATAACGCGATAATTGTGTTCTTGTAAAATATCGTGTTATAGAAAATCGCGTAATAGAAATAACAGGGCTTATGGAGAAAATAGGGTTAGGTGCAGATTACTCGAAATCGAAAAAATTTAGTAGTTAGCCTAACACAAAGGATAGCACAGTCTAAATAAATGTTACATTCATATCTAATAATGAAATAATACAGTAAATGTAACACTTTACCTTGAAAAAATATGAATGTAACTTGATGGGGGAAAAGGGTGATTTTGAGGTTGATAAGAGCTTCTCTTCAAGGATTATAGCCTTTCTTTTACGATCATCACCGGGAATTCTATCACCAGAACGCTTCTTAGAGATATTCTTCTTTACCATATTCACAGTTAATACCACAAAATTGGAGAAATAGTAAGCAAAAATCGCGTTATAGCAAACAAGCGTTCGCGTTAAACAAATATCGTTCCTCTATTCATAAATCGCGTTAGAGCAAATTCGCGTTATAGCAGAACTCACTGTATCGTCATTTCTCTACATATAAGAATATGAAAGCAACACTTATTTACTATGCATATGTGTTTTAAATAATACTTACGAATGTAAAACAAAAATTCTACTACTCACCAATAGTGGTAAAGTCTAAAACATAAGGACAGCCAATGATGTTGTGCGAGTTTTTACTCAGATGACGAAGTCATCAGGTTCAACTCTGACTGAAGCTGTAGCTTTCTATAAAGCTGTTGCTGAAACTGTTACTGAACCTAAAGTTGTTGAGGCTGAATTTGATGGTGTAGCTGAAGTTGATGGTTTAGGCCTTCGAATAATAAAGCTGTTGAAAGAACCTTGCACAGCTGCTTTCTTTTCTCATTATACATCTCTATGTAGAGGTCATTTGCATTTATTTAAATTTTAATGCTTTGTTCTGTTAATGGATCCACTTCAGAAAATATGTTCATTGCTTGCTCCATATAATATCCACAGACCTCTCAGCTTTTTCATGTCGTTTTAACACATCTAGTTTCTCGACTAAGCTTATACACGTTCTATTAACTTTTGAAACAACACTACTATCACTTGCTCTCTTGCTCATGTTGAATTGGGATGCAAAAATGCTGTAAAAAACCTGAGAAAGTTTTTCTCCTTTTCCTGTTCAGATGCGTGAAAACAAAGGGCCCTCCAGCTGCGATTATTTATACTAGTGATGCTGGTGTTGTAATGGCCCATGTTTCATAAACATAAGAATTATATAAATGGGTTAATTACATTTGATTTATATACTGATTCATCCCCTGTAACTTTCCACTGGCTATGAGGTGACATGTTCAATGCACATGATAAGGTGTGCTCACGGGAAGCTGCGTCATACTATGCTGAGTAAAGGCATAAAGTAGCCGGCTCCTGGCCACCTAAAGCGGGCAGTAGTTTGATATCCTTGACTAGAGGAAGACGTTATTTGAGAGCTGCAGTGGATGGCTCCGTCTTCCCTCGAGGGAGGACGAAGCGTCCATTCCTTTCTCCCCATGGGTCACTACTCAAAGTCTCACTCACATCGAACGGACGTTGATTCACGCTTATTTACATAGACGCCGTCCTCTCTCATCACTCATAAATGGTGGAACTTACAGTTGTTCTACACTCAGGAATTGTACAAATAATACTTTTTAATAAAAGAAGAAACTTCAATTGGGTTTCGTTAAAGCCCAATATAATATGTGTACCAACCTAGTTAACATTGGAATTAACCAGCTGGTTCAGCGTCACCACTAACAAGCCCGGCAGCCTCCGTGCGCAAGGCGTGTTTTTTTTTTTTAACAATATTGGGATTTAGTTATTATTTATACGAAAATGTAATTTTTTTTTTTTAATTTCACGTAAATGCGAAGAAAATAATGGCGTAAATTGAATTAGGTCCTAAATTAACCAGGGTCTTGGATATGAATCTTCGTTAGTTGACTCGTCGTTATCAGAGGCTTTACAGTACCTGTATATGATATGGTGTAATAAATATTTGGTTGATAGATGTTTAGATAAACTGCATATTGTCAATACATTTATTATTGTAAATGTTTGTAAGAGTATATGAATATATTGGAATAAGATGACTCCTTTTTTCCATTCTAGAAGCCATGTTGTACCTGGATGGTCGACGTCGCTACCAGTTAGTGAGAGGACTCCGCAAGTTCTATGGCCAAGGGGAAGTGACTTCAGACACTAGTTTAGAGTAGGGTTTGCTTAACTGATTAAGATAAACAAGTGTGAATTTTCTATTTACTACTATAGTTATTTGTTGATGCAGTTTTATGCTCATGATTAATTTTCACCTTATTTAAGGAGAAGCGGTCTCTTGCAGTATATCCTTTATTATGCATATTAACTAATTCTTATTACATATTAATGCTAGCATAATTATTGCTTAATAGTGCTGTATGAATAGAGCTTAATTTGAATTGATTACACATCATGTATAGCCACACGTCACTTACATAAGGTGCGCACACTAGTACAGATACACCACCGATTATCCGGGAAACTGATAGTCCGGCACCTCCTTTAGTCCGGACAAAATTACGAGAGGGCAGTTAACTTCTCCTCCCTCCCCCAGCCTGGGTGAAGGTAGTTTTAAGCTTAAAGTTTTTATCTTATAAAATGTCACAGACTAAACTTAACAGAATATAACTTACATGCATGGAATCCTTTCAAGACAGTGATTAATTTGAGTATAAACATCACATAGTTTGCACTAGACATAAAATTTTTAGAAATTAACTTCTTACAGTTTACCCTTAGGACAATTATTTTTTTTACTTTTTTCACAATATATATTTAGGATGGTGTGTGCATGTAAATGAGCAAAAATAAATGTATTAAGTCACATACATCTTCCCAAAAATATGAGTTAAAAAACTTGACAATAATGTACTACACTAGACTAAAATTTCTATCTCTTGTGCAAACTATGTGGTGTTTATATTCTGCTAAGTCTAGTCAGCTACATTTTATAAGATAAAAATTCTAAGCCTAAAACTACCTTCACCCAGGCTGGGAGGGAAGTTAAGTGCCCTCTCATAATTTTGTCCCGACTACAGGAGGTGCCGGACCATCAGTTTCCTGGATAATCGATGGTGTACCTGCATTGGAATTGGAGGTATTAGTGTACATTACAGTATTGCTATGTTGTAAAATGCTTGCATATTTTTTACATATTGATTGGTATTCCTTTAATGTGATTTTCATAACATTATACAGTATAATTTTTTTAGGAATACAGCCCAACCCTTGCATGTATTGTACTGTAATGTGGACTCCTAATACATTATTTCACAAGATTGTTAACATTTACTACTGACCCTACAGCTCTAATCCTTTTTTGCCCCAGGGAGACATAAACTGTCTGTGTGTACAAAGGGAGTAAAGGGACAGTTGGACCAGGGCTGGCTCAAGGTACCAGTGGTCACCCTGTGTGCCACCTGCTGGAGCTGCAAAAATGCAGAGGGGAAGAAAATTTATTATTTTAATGAAAATTGAGTGTTAAACTAAAAATTGTCTAATATATAGTCAAATTGTTCAGGAATATCTTATTATTAATGTCTTACTGTTGTGGTGAGAGGTAAAGGAAAGTGCCATGGTTGTCACCTGGGATAGCCTGATTAGGTGTAAGGGAGCATTGCTTGTTGATAACTTGAGTAGGGTAGCTCAGGGGCAAGGTATAGTACTGTAATATAAAACAGTAAAGACCCCACAATTCGTACCCTTCAAAATTGAAATCACTCATAATTTATAATGTTTTGCTGTTACGAGATATATACTGTATTACAAAATATAAGACATTTAAAAATATTACAATACTGTATACCTATATATTACAATTTGTTTTAATATTTGTTAAAATTTTGGATGGGCTGTGACTGCCCCCTTAGTGTAAACAAGTACTATATGTCCCCCATAAGATAACTTATTTGTATCCTTTGAAGAATCTCCATTCGTTTCACACAACAAAGGGACATCAAAGACAATCAAACCCTTAGGAACTTGAAGAATCGGGTATATCCAAACCAGTAAAGTCTCAATGAAACTTCACAGACTTGGGGAGCTCCATGTACATTGTATAGTACCCCAAAAAAATTCCAAAGATCTCTTAACACCATTGTGGGACTACCTTAAGAATCTTCACCACAATTTATTCAACTTAAAGTTTAACCAACCTAAAGCTAACCTTACCTCATCTCTCCAAACAGCATTAGGGTGATTAATTTTTAGGTACTGTACAATATAATCTGGGGTGAATATTCTTCAGGTGATCCCTATTATGTAATACCAAGGACTTTTATCTATACTTGTAATTACAGTATCATGAAGCCTATAGAAATCTTCTAAGGAAATATAAAGCCATTAAAATATCTAGAAATTATCAGATTTAGAAGTGAGGCTGCAAAACTGAAAAGGATCTGAGAAATGAATATGCATTAGTGTTCATACATATCTGGACATATATCGTGGTCACATCTATTGAGTGGTTCTCTTTACCACACAGAATAGGTAACAAGGAATGCCTGTTCGGTCTCCACTTAAACTGCTTATCTTATCTATAAGTCAGTAGGCGGGTAGTCTTTGATTACTTCAAGGAATAACAACCCTGCCTTGCCAGCTGTTTCCACCCTGTGGGTTGGCATTAGGAAGGGCATCCAACCGAAAAACTTTGCTTTAATATACTTGAGGACAACTGGGTCATCAGAGCTGTGCCTATCCTTAGTCTCTGTTGCATTTTCTAGACTGGCACCATGGATTTATTTGTGGTGGTGAGTGGGGAAGGGGACATCCTGTTTTGGTTTTACCCAATAAACTGCCATTAGGTAATCACAACTAACTCACACAAGTGTGGAAAATGATCATAAAACAATGATGAAGCCAGTTCAGACTAACAAATAACACACCTCTGACACTGGCTTCCTACGAATGGGATTTGAATGTAGGATTAAAATGGAAGTTACATATTAGCAGTACCTGAAGCACTCACTGGTTTTATAATGGAAATACAGACATGTACAGAGGAATGGTTAAGAAGATTGTTGTGCATAGTACATTCATCATGACTAAAAAAAAAAAAACATGTACGTTAAGTTGTAGGTGAGGTAAACCTTGTTTCTGTCACCTTAAAATACCCATTTGAAATTATAGATAATTATAAAAAACTTGTCCTTAAAATAAAAATTCTGCATGTACAATTTTTTTTAACTCAAAAAATACCAAGAAAATATAAGAGATACTTGTCTTCATCTCTGCCAGCTGGAACTGCAAGTGTTTCCCTAATGAGAAATCCTAGATCTGCCAGTGCTTAGAAATGAGGTAATGCAGGAGTCTCGGTGATTAGTTTTGCTGAATACAAACTGTGATGTACAATACAGCTTTAAGATAACTGGGGTGCTGGTTAAAAGGTTTTAAGTGTAATTGGTGGCCTTAAGATACAGCACTGAACTGTATATAGATGAATATTGAGAGCTAGGCATAATTTAAAGGGAATTTGTTATTGACCATATACAGTAGACATAATTTAGCTGAACATCCAGTTTTAATTGTCCACTCAACTTTATTTAACAGTCCACACTGCCTGGCAGGTGCCGATCAACTCACAACTAATAGCCCCTGCACTGTACTTATCACCCTTTTAATTTTTGAGTACGAGTCATCACCTTTCTACTCAGCAGTGCAATGGATAGTGAGAAGCAATGCTTTGTTACTGCAACAAGTATATAACTGTAACTTTTATGCTTCACCCAGTCTCTCTTCTTTTTGCATTGCTGTGCTTGCATCTGCTGTCCTATTGCCTTTCTTCTAAACCTTAGTTGCCTCCAATAAACAATATCTGCTTATCAGTACAGCATTTACTGTATTGCGAGAATTCTCCGACACACTTCACCACAGTGACTCGCCCTTTTACTATTTTTTGTTTCATTGAATTACATACTCTGTACTATGCTGGTCAGGCTCACTGGTCTATAGTTGTTCGTGGAGTGACGATAACCTTTCTTGAAGATAGGACTCACATAAGCCATTTTCCAATCACTGGGGACCTTTTGTTCATCCAGGCTTTTACAGAACAGGATCTTCAGGGGCTCGGCAAGCTCATTACACAACTCTCTTAGCACTCTGGGATGCACCATGTCAGGGCTGGGACTCAATGTGAGTCAGTGCTAGTCGAACCGTCTGTCCTCAAAGCAGGAAGGTTAATCACATCCTCTCTTGTGAACACCGAGGAAAATAAGCTGTTCAATGCCTCGGCTTTATCCTGGTCAGAATCTGCGTAGCTACCATCTTCAAGCCTCAGATCCAATACTCCTACTCGGGTTTTTAATTTTGACTTTGCATAGCAGTAAAACGCCTTTGGGTTTGACTTGATCTCGTTTGCAACCAGCCTCTGGAACTCCTTTTCAGCTCTTCTACACTCTTCCTTTGCATATGTCAATGTACTGCATATCAAACTGAAAAAACAGATTACCAGTATTGTACTTTATGTCATGATTTCTTGGGGGCTGGTCAACCCAAACAGTGAAAAGTTCAACCTAAGTTAACGCATGAATGATCCTAGGGTATGACACGTTCATTCTCGAGACAGATTATTCTGATTATCAGTGTTCATATTAGAGAACTTAAGCACTTAGTGTGACTTAAGATCTTTGTGCATAAATGACTGGAAAATTCTGAGCATGAAGTTGATGTCGTCAGGTATGACCACGTGGTTACACAACTTACTTAAAGCTGCTAATAAGATTTTGTTTATTTTCATTAGTTGGCAGAATTTTATTCTATAGATCCATGATTGCATCATCTGCACATCTATACTTTACTTTTATCCTCTTCACCACTGATCGGCTCGTTAATCTTGGGCGATCGGTCACATCTCTGTAACTCACTGTTGGCAAGTGCTAGGCATGTACTGGCTCTCTGTTATGCACTGTTGGCAGGTACTGGGCATGCACTGGCTCCTGAATGTACCTGAACCTGCTCCAGTGTTGGTCAAGTCTGGTCTTGAAAGAACTTCGACTCGGTGCCGTCACAACACTTTCTGGCAGATTGTTCCAAGAGTTCACAACTCTTACTCAGAAAAAGTTTGCCCTCACAGTTTTCTGGACTTGCAGTACTGTAAACTTCAGTGAAATTGACGTTTTTGTTAATTTACTTAATCATGTCAGGTAGCTAACAGAGTAACTAGACTATAGATATATTAATATAATTATGTGACTTGAATTTTCTTCTAACAGCCTGATGTGTCACAGACATTGTTTTTCTCTACCAAACTTTTGCTGTGTAACTAGGCATATCTTCCATATTTTTTTTTATTCCGACACATTTACTTAATACATACAACCTAGTCAAAATGAGCTCTAAGTGTATGTTTTAATGTGCCCAGTGTGTTATGAGATGAAAAATACATTGACAGGAATAAAACTAGTTGTTGGTTACCACTTCTAACTTAGTGTACATTGACAAATATGTCAGAACAAGCAAAATATTTAACCTGGTACTGTATATGCTGTGCAGTAGGGTTGCCATACGTCCGTATTTTTCGGACATGTCCTCCATT